ACGAAAAGAACAAAAAACAAAAAAAGAAAAGAACAAAAAAAAATGATACGCAAAGTAATTTACCAATTCGTCCGCCACTTCCGATATTCCAGATTCAGATATTTGTCTGAATCCAGCAGTTGCTTCCTCACTACGCTGTTTTCTCCGTCTGTCTCGAATCCAAATTGCTGCACTTGAAACAAGTTGTGCAATGTTTATTGCTCCAAAAAAACGGAAATACGATAAAGCCTGCAAAACCTTCTTAACAAATTCCGCATGATATTCAAGTATTTGAACTTCGAGTACGATTAGCAGTAGGGATTCGGTTTTTCTAAAGCTCCACATTTCTGAAAATGAGTTTTTAAAATGAGAATGAAATTACACCACTTATTTCTGCCATCAAATTAAACAGCGCGAAGTAATTTTTCAAGTTTCTAACCTCAGTTTATTCCAAAAATTTGATTTCGTGGATGGTTACTTTTCATATGGCAAGTAGTACAAAGTCAGTTCTTCAGTGAATAAATTTGAATCAGTGGTCTACGAAAGGCACCTGATAATTTGACTGTGCTCGAAATGAAACGTATTGCAAACCGATTAGACGCTTTGAAATATAATAATAGGTTCCAAATAAGTAAAACAATGCTAAATTCAAACGATGCAACACTGGAATACCAATACACCTGGAAATGATACAATTGTTGGCTAATTCTGTTTCCTACAAATTATCTTGAAGCTCAAAATCAAGACAATTCATTATATACATGAAATTTTGCTTAATATAAAAGCTTAATACACTTTTGCTGGATATACTTTCTTTTTATACAAATGAATCATAAACGACTGATCTTAAAATAAGTGACCTGATCGAGATAACAGAGTTAAGCAGAGTTTTGCGAAGATTTCTTTGCTTCCTATCAAAAAAAAGAGTTTCGTTGGTAGTCAATGAATTTTTCAAACTGCCTTCAATTTTCTCGAGGATTTTTTCAATCAGTAATGGTGCCACAGAAAATGAAAGGATAAAAATTAAACGACGAGTGAAGACTGGTACTTTATGCTGTCGAACTGATACCAGTGGTAAAAGCGCAGTATATTCTTCACCAACTGTTTGCACTGCTATAAATTTGAAGAAGTGCAAACTATTCGATTCATTTTTCATTAAAGTCCATTACGTGAACTGTACGAAAATCCATTTTAAATGATATCATTTACAGCAAAGGCTCTAACAGTTGATGTAAAGGTATCTTCTACACTATAAATTCGATATGATATGAAACATTAAAATCAACAAAAAATCGAGAACGCTCAGTTGATTAAGATTTTCCGGAATAATTTTTAAGCACTAACATACAACTTATTCAAACTTGAAAAAAAAGGTCAGTAAGTCTACAATATTTGATTCTCAATACGAAAAGAATCAAAGTCCACAGGATAATATCCAGAACTATGGCACATTCAAGAACCTTTACCTGACAAGAACGTGACAGCGTAATACAAAGTACCTGCTAGAAGCGGGTAGTAATTCCAATAAGAAATCCAGAACCGCGTACCTAATAAATCCTAAAAAACATTCATCTGATCAAACAAAAACGAGAATACATTTCAGATAAAATAGCTCTACGAATTAACCCATTGCATAGAAATAAAACTGAGACCCGGCCTAACCGAACAACCCTTCCGATTAAGAAAAAAATTGAAAAAGAGCTGGCCAATTGGAACAACAAAAAGAATCCAATGTTTACTGTTTCCACCAAAACAGTCTCCTTTATTCGGAAATGAAATTTCTGAAATTTTAATATGCATTTCCCCTAATCACATCTTTCATCTCTCAACTTAAGCAACTGAAATGATACTTTGACAATTTGTGATAATTCCCTTGCTAAATAATCAGTTTCTCCTTCGTCACGGTGTTCAGCAAGTAACACCTCACTTAAATCCGCTGTGAAAACTTTCATTTAACATCGCCTACTCTCGAGACTTTAGTGCCTGAAAATTATTTCCAAATCATTATAATTTCTTCCAACACAAAAAAAAATATATATATATATATATCAATGAGCCACACACAACTAAAATTTATGTCAAAAATATGCAATTAAATAAGTACTTAGGAAACTCCCAGAAACCTTCTCTTCGCTGTGTTCTCCAAAGAAAAAAGCTAACAAAAAAACTATTCATTCTCCACGTTGAAAACAAATTTTTAAAAAGAACAATAGTTTCGAACTTTGTTGAATCAATTTAACAGATTAAAGTGGAGTATAATAAAATCATAAAACAATAGCAAAATAGATTAGACAACCAATGTGTTACTTTCACAGAAGGACAAAAAACAGTGACTTTTTTTCGAAGCATACCTGTAAAACCTCTGAGGAAGAAACATTCCTGCTGGAAGGCAATAAAGATCACATGAACAAAGCAACAATTAACAATTAATTGCAGCATTAAAATCTTTAGTTCAAAGAAAACCTTTTACTTGTCTTGAACATAATAGATCCATCTCAACCATGTGCACAATGGACAAAGCTGATAATCATTTGCTAGCAAAATTCATGTCTGTGAGAATCAAATTTTGGATCAGCTATATAACAAGCAACTCTCTTCATAAAACATTACGGTCCGCCCGCAGTAACAACTTATTTTTTAAAATAGCAAGAAATACGAAAGCAACAACAACAAGTCGATACAATTCAACGTTTCAAAAGCCATCAACATGGAATCACAACTCTCAAATGCCTGAACAGAAATATGACAAGAATTCAACACTGACAATTCGTCCAAAATAGCGGAAACATCACCCGACATGCACACATTTATCAGTCGATAAATCAGATACTTATAAGCGCATGAAATAACTCATACCATCCTTATTTTGCAAAGGTGTCGTTCTGACTTTTCCATCGGTATCCTATAAACAGCGGATTACAAAACGCTATTGCTTAGGAGAATGATGAATGCAAATAACACAACTTTTTTAGTTTTTGGAAATTTAAAAATGATAATCAGGAAAGGAAACACCTGGAATTCGCAAAACCATTCGTACCAAACACCTTGCATATCAATTTTCCGTTCAACATGAAAGATGACCTAAAATAATTCATCCATTAAATACATTAAATATATATGTTTGTATGATGTGTGAAAATTGTTTTTCCTAATCATTTTTCTGGAAAGTAATACACAAACTATCCAATAGGGAAGATTATTTTTGGTACCTTTAAGTTACAATTCAGCTAAAAGTCAAATAGAAACTTACTTCAGTACCCTTCTGTAAGCGATAAAGATTTCGAAGTGGTATAAGAGCTGGGAACCAACTGACTAAACCTTTTGTGTGCGTCTGTGGAACAATGCTCAACTGGCAATTTCTATAAAGTCGTGCAGTAAAGTAGCCTGCGAATCCCATTAACTGAAAAAGATCACTGTAATGAAAATATATCGCCATTTTGAGTATCACTTTTGACCATAAAATCACTTAAACTATCAGCTTTATAATACAGTATGCTTCCAATATCACACGACTAACATATGATCGTAAGAGCATTTCGAATGCGGGACGTAACTACTTGGCAATCTTACGTAGAAATATAAAGTATCAGGCATGAATAACGTCGTTTTATAAATTGGCTGTGGAGATTATGTTATGACTGCATTTTTCATTCAAAACGCCGTCCCAAAATTCACATTGACGGGTAGAAAATAACAGTTCATATTTACTGTTACGAGTACAAGTAACTAAGGCTGAAATACTCCTAATATATTAATAAAAGAAGCGCATTAACGGATGAAAAATAGCAGTTTCAGGAAATTTATGTATTTAAAACTACTGGTTATTTAAAAAAGAATTTCGCAATTAATGATTATAAAACATTTAACCTCCGACTGCATATCAACTGCGAATTGAATGCATGCACTCCGGGCATTTGATTTTCGTTCAAAATTTGGATGCTCGAAATTGAAAACAGCTTTGGGCTTTGCAAGCTCACAAACAGAACGCATGCAAACTACATATATTTCATCGAATTGCGAAGCTTCCGGGCATTCACTGAAAAAAGCAGTTGAAGATAAATACCATTTTTTAATCAATATAGGAGTCGTGCCGACTTTATCTTCCAACTAGATATACCTTCACTTAATTTCTTTCTAGTTCCTAAACTTTCTGCTGTAGTCATCGCCCACAACTTCTTGCTCTATTCACAAATTTGGTACCAGTTTCTTACCAAGAAGAAAAATATGTGAAGCAGCAAATGAACTTTTATCAGTTATTATTTTAAACTACATTGTAATCCTACAATGCACTACTGATAGAAAAGAAATTGAGAATCAATCTTAAATCAATCTTTATTTGGCAATCTTACGTAGAGATTATGTTATGACTACATTTCATTCAAAACGCCGTCTCAAAATTCACATTGATGGGTAGAAATTAACAGTTGAACTATCAGAAATCGCGCTGATCAAATAAGAGAAAGAAATTCCTCCTTCAGTACTGTACAAATAACATTCTAAGATCTAGAACAAGGAACAGGTACAGTTCATATTCTCTTTCTACTAAAACACCTCTCAGTATTACATTTCGCTTTAGCCAAACACAATCATTCGCTAAAATAATCAATTATGAATAGACGTACGGTAATGCGTAAGTGCCATCTTGTAATTTAATGGGTTCCAATCGTCCACGGCCAGGAAAACCACGCTCAAAATATTTTGTAACACCTGAACAGCACAGTACTTTTTGATGTAAACGAACCGACTGAATGGGAGCTGAAAAGCAATTGAAAAAAAAGAATTTAAACATGAAAAAAACTTAGTTATGTATAAATACCAAAAAGGTATTAATACTGCTTAGTTAATGCATGCAAAGTACCATTATTCTGACCATCAGGGCCTAAATAGTTAGTGCTATCCAATTCACAGGAATTCGCTAAAGATGTTTGATGATTTAGCGACTGAAGTTATTAATACCAAATATAATTTACATCGATCCCTCCACATTATATTCGTCAGTAAGCAATTTTCAACAAGCAGTTCCATTCAATCCACAAATCAATAATTCCAGAAAAGAGATGATAAAATTGAAATAAATAAGAATGGAAAAAATACTGATACTCCTCAGGTAACTTGATAAAGCCAGTTATTAGGACTTCAGGACAGTGTAAACAAAACCTCACCGATGTAACTGGTATACTGTTGAGGAATACTGATAGTAGTTGGGCGCAAAATATCCGTAATACTATCGAGACATTCAGGAGACAGTTCATTATCACCAAAAGATCCCAGCAATTCCGAAACAACTAAATCTGGAGATGGCAATTGACCAGCTCTGACTTTTTCACTCAACTTTCGCATATCGCCCTCAATAATTCGTACTCGATTCTTCCAGCTGGAAATCTGTTAGTATATATAACCGATAAGATATCAATATTGACTGAAGGAAATGGCATTTCTCAGAATTCCGAATGACATAAAATAAGTTAGTCTAATTGAAAAGTTCCAAATTTATCACGCTTTCTTGAAAAAAGCAACAAAGAGATTTATTTGGGTTAATTGTAAATGATTTACGAAATTGTCGGATGAGCATCAACCGAAAAAGAAAAAAATTTTTCGGGAGAAAAACGAGGGAATACAGAAGACCCTAATTATGAGCGGTAAATGTGCAAAAGCAACAATAATCGCATGCTTCATTTTTGCAAAACAAGGACCAACTGGTGTTTGTTTCTAAATTGCAAAGTAACGACGGCATGTGCATTTTTCTCCATTGAATAGAGTTCAAGCCTCAGCAATTCGCGGCGATTACAACTTTTTGCATTGAATAATTCTTCAGCTTCAATTATCATTTGCATCTATGAATAATTGTTATTTAACCAGAAAGACGACACAAATATCAAATAAAAGTATGGGAGTATACGTCATTCAACGTAAAGTATCTCATGCGCTGGTACGACTGCATAACTCTCTATAAAAATAAGCTCGCAACGAAACCAATCATTTGATAACAATTTATTCCCTAATGTTCTTTAAAAAGAAAGAATGTAAGTTTACTATTCACTCTTAAATGAATGTAAAGCTTACCAGGGGCCCTCGCCCTGCTCCTAAAAGATACACAACGATGTTTCGCTCCTCACTAATTATTTTAACGAGATCCTCAACAGCATAACATATCGCTTCACGATATATATCATATTTCACCGAATCCTCTTCAAAAATTGCGTAAGTACCCGAATCAAGATTTTCCGCTAATGGTTGCAGAGGCATCTGAAAGAAAATCCAGTTTTACCATTCCGACATCCTTTCTCAATCTTGGAATAAAACTACTCCGTGCAGATTCACCAATTTTCCATTTAAATCTTAAACATATTTCAAGTGATGTAAACTATTATGAAAGGAAAGAATCCAACATATACCTGTAAAGTATCGATATACTCTCGATGTCCAAGATATTCAAATAAAACATTATCGTCATTGCCAGCAAGGGCAGCCTCTTTTGACTGAATTGCTTTTTCCTGTATCAGTTGTTTGATCATATTTACGTACTGCAGTCGAAGATGCTCATCAACTTGTTCAGAGGTACTGCAGTGTATTAGCGGTCGCTGCACCACTGACACGAATAAGTCCATTAATAAACGGTAATGTGCTCTGCAAATATCAAGGTTCCTTTTTTCAGAATTTTCATCCAATCTACAAAAATGATAAAAGCTATCCCTTTGTTCTAACGATATTTTAAAAAAGCGAATTGCATGGCAATAACATGATGAAGTTTTCGGGTTATGTCCCTGAAATCTAACAATACAGTAAACGCTTCGAGAAGCCACCGTTCATACTAGAAAGATATAGGAAGAGCGATCTATAACTTGGCATCTCATCTAAATAGAATCTTCTCTCCATCTATTTATGAACCTACATACGAATTTTATATATAAGCACTCAAATCATTCAAAAAAGAAGAAAAGACCACAGAAAAATAAAAATGAAAATTGAAACAGAACAGAGGAAAGCATACGGTGACAGCGTACATTTGCCGTACTGTCCACTAGATGTGAAAATGGATGTTTCAATACAAAATGAGCATAGCGGCTCAGCGTGCCAGCGCTTATACAGCCGTGGTTCCAGGAATTCATCGGCTAGATTAGGACATAATCTTAATCCAACAGCTAACTTCTGCATCGGATAATTCGTGCAGAGACTCCGGAAATCAGCCCATATTCTCCAAATATCACGAGTATCTTGTCCACAGTCCACGACAGGAAGAAGATTTTCATCAGTTGGCATAAATACCCAAACACTACAATGTTAATCATTACATTCAAATCAATTTGTTATGGTGTCACTTGAAACCATTTTTAATCATTTAACCATTTTATTCTACAGAAGGAAGATTCTTTTTTCCATATTTTCTCTGCGGGAGTGTGTGTTAATAGTATCACAGCGGGATAATAAAACATTTGCTACATCTATAACATGCATACTTCATTATCAGTTAAGCCGGACATAGCCTATCTCAGAAAACTATTACTTTTTTTAGTAAATGAGGTATTGAAAAAGATGTAATTTCGACAACTAAAACTACTTCAATCTGCAAGAGTGAATGATCTCAAATATAAGAAAATGGATTTGAGCATTAATTACGACCTGTAAGTCATATTCCGCGTCCACATCCACTTTGTTAATATTTCTGCCAATTTTGGTGAATCACGATGTTTTAGTTCCAACGTTAATACATGCAATGGCATGTAAGTCATATAATTAAGTTCCTTAAACAAATAACTGAATGAATTGCAATTGTAAACGTTAGAGTTAATAATTCTGCTCGAAACATGAATGGTTTTTATTGCTGCAGCTGTTTCAAAAAGACATCTGCTAAAAAAATCCATTAATTTGCTTTCGATTAAAACAAGACTACATATAATAATGATGTTGAGTTCTATATGTTGTACATCCAGATTTTTTAAAAATGGCTTTACATTTTAGCAGGCCTAAAAATCATGTCCTCTGAGAATCAATTTGCATACGATAATTTTTCAACACTAGAAAAAAAGAACTAATACAAATCACTTCAGCTGCGTGCTTCTAACGACAACGAGGAAATGAAAACTGATGGCCTCACTGGAATGGGATCATTAAATCTTAATAAATGATTATGCTTTGAATGTTAACTTAGATTGATTCAGCATGATGTATATATCAAAATATTAAAAGCTTTATCTTTTTTCGTTATTCGCCAGAGCGTTTTATTAAAGGAACTACTATTAAAAAATCAATTATTCGAACAAATGCAAAAAAGAAAATTAAAACCAACGGATTTTTCACCAACCTTTTCAATTTCAACGCATGATAAATCTGCCAACCAAGTTTCGTTCGCATCGCAATCTATCCAGTCCGATATCCGTCCTATAACATATGTCCCCCATAATTTAACATCGAGTTGCAAATCCGGAAGATCTATTGGAGGTGGAGCGCCGTCTCTAAAAAAATATCACGCTATATTCCACTCTTCATTTTGCAAATAAATTTCAAATACCATTATCTAAATTACTACCCCCTGTCAGCAGTTATCAAATTTTGAGAGACTATAAGCCGGAGGAAGACAACCACCTAAATCTCCAAATAATTCCACTTTCCAGTATTATTCACTGCTTTATTTATTACAACATCAGTATAAAAATTCCCCAAACAAAAGTTGAAGCTAATTCTACTAAACTAGGTTAAATAACACAAATCATCATGATAGCTAATCTAAATTAACTGAAGATTCAGATAAATTGATGCTGTTTCAGATAATATGTTATTTGTTAGGTTTCCTATGGTTTAGTGTTGTCAGTAAATTATTTGGTAAACACTGAGCTTTCATTCCCGTATCCTCTAAAGTTGCAAAATATACGCATTAAAAGCACCAACTTTTCAGGACGCCATGACGACCGTTTCATACCACCAACTGGATAATTTATGAAATTGTAGTTTCTAGCACCCAGTCTCGAACAATACTCAACAATATCCGTGTCGTGTATACCATCACTATTCGTTGCCAACCACCCAACTAAGGCTGAAATTTCTATATCGGATGCTTGCGCCACTTGCTCATCTTCCTGACACATCGGAGCAACTGCGATTTCGCTGCGGCTCAACGCACAGTGCTGATTACAAGGCCCTTCCTTCTGATTCCTTCTCTTCAACTTTGACTGCACCAATCACCACTAAAAATTATACTAACATTACAGGATCACAATCTTCGCCCCAAGTGAAATTATCGCCATCTGATATACGGTGAGATCATAGGGTAACTTTTCGTGAATCAGTACAATTGACAACTTTATAATGGATGCTACCATCATAAAATTTCATCTCGTTGGTTTAAATCATTTTATGGGATTCGAGATTTATACCCCAAGGTTGTTCATGGCGATCAGAAGTTCAAAGTTGTAAAGCCATGGAACACCGGAACGAACCACAAAATTTTTAGAGAAATACAAATCTTTGCTCATATGTGGTGTAATTTAGGCCTAGAAATAGAATATCACCAACAGGAAATCTTCATTCATCTGCAGTAGACATGGATTAACCTCAAAATGAGACCATAACACGAGTAGCAGGTGAAAAACCTTCACTTAATGTTCCTTAACGGTTGTAAGCAAATTGCTTATTGTCAGACACCTGCATCTTCTGAGAAATCGATAAGAGATTTTTCAATACATCTCATGATGAATTAAGTGGGACATGGACCTTTTTCATAGAAAAAAGTAAACTGATGCGCTATAAACCTATTTTCGTTCCTCCCTCTTCTATCATTCTGAAAAGACAAATAAAAGAACTCAATCACAGTGTGTGCTTGTAATACTTTTAGTCAGATAAACTGATTAGAATTAATTCGAAAAAGGAGAAAAATTGGTTCTAACAATTTTACTCTACAGCAGAGCCGACACTTTTCAAACATGCATAAAATGGAGACACTTCGGAGTCGAAACTAAACATGCAATTCTAGTGCTTGATTTATTTCTTAAAATGATTCGAAAAAATGACAAATTCTGATTCCCTTATGAAATCAATAGGCTAGTGCACCGAAACAGCTGTTAAATATCACAGAAGTGAGGCACTGTGTACACGAATCATTATGCAACAAAAAAAAGGTTCGGCTAGTATATATAACAGTAAAATACTCTGTAATATTTCCTAAAGCTTACAATAATAGCACAAGCTTTTACAACACAAACGAAATTTGTTGAAGTTCAGATGACGAAAATCCACTATTAGTTACTCAGTACCAGGTAATATCCAGTGTAATCATTGGCACTTCATATATTCTGCTTAGCCAGTTCTTCAGCTTTTACGACTACATCATCGATCCCACCTTGCATATAAAATGCCACTTCCGGCAAATGATCCATCTCACCTGGAATGGAATAAAATTTTCTTTCAATCACGTTACATAAATAAGACTAATTACGTGAGCCGTAATGCAAACGTCATAACTATAAAGTAGTATCCGCCCTATTGAATCATTGCGACAGCAGTAACTGCTCAAAAACCAAATCAGTTACTCAGAAACACGCGCATAAGAGATCAGTTGGTCGAGAAGAGACGGATTAGAAATTAGTGAGCATGAAGTAGCACCATAGAAAATCTCTGATAACACCAAAGTAAACAGTGCACAAAATATGGTTGAAAGACATTCAGATCCTTAATGGAGAATATTTCAAGGAAAGTCTGGAATCAATGTATTCCGCTAGCGCCACTAACTCAGTAAAATCGAGAAGCAAGCACTGAGAATCAAATTATTATGGTAGAATTTATCCCAATCACTTCAGTTAAGAACAAGTAAATTTAAGGTTAACTGTATTTTCCATTGGTTAGGTCTCCATATATCCCTTTAACATATACGGGTATCATAACCCGAAAAATCCTTCAAAATTAATCGATTACTGAAACAGAATGGCTTGCAAAACTGATTTCAGAAGCCAAAAGCAAAAATAAAATCATCAGGTAATGACTAATCACTTTCTGAACGAGATAATTATTTCAAATAACCGCAGAAGTCCTACCTTTTAAAATAAGTTCAAATCCCTTGATCGTCTCTTCGAGAGTCACAAATTTTCCTTTGTGTCCGGTGAATACTTCAGCAACCTGGAATGGCTGCGACAAAAATTTCTGAATTTTCCGAGCTCTCGATACCACCAGCTTATCCTCTTCTGACAGTTCATCCATGCCAAGAATGGCGATAATATCTTGCAACGATTTGTAATCCTGCGTGATAAGTGACATATTTCAGAACTCTTATGTAATAAACCAAATCTTATCCAGGAAAACATAAATCAATCATATAAATATTTCTGAAATTTATTATGAAAACTCTACTGCTTATGGCGTCTTAATCCACTGTTTTTTAGAAACAGTACTGAGTGTTTTGTCCATTGTCCATAGATGCCAAAAACTTTCGTATCTTACAAAAATCTTCCGTATCTCTTTAAACTATATTTCGACAAAATGAAATTAAAATTGAGGTTTTAAATATTTGAATTGTCGTCAGTAAAAATAATAATCAATATTAGGAGCTTAACAGATGATTTACGAAGTACCCTACAAATTAGATGGTTTAGAATTAAGAAAAGTGAAGAAAGTTGCCTGTAAAATCTTTTGTACACCACGAGCAATATCATAATGTTTTTGCCCAACAATATTAGGATCCATGATGCGAGATGTTGAATCGAGCGGGTCTACGGCAGGATAAATGGCTAGTTCAGCAATACCTCGGGATAAGACAGTTGTAGCATCTAAGTGAGCAAATGTGGTTGCTGGGGCCGGATCTGTTAAATCATCAGCAGGTACATAAATAGCTTGCACTGATGTAATTGAACCCTAAAAAAAGTCGGGACTAATTTCTAGCTTATCAACCATATTATCTGTATATCAACCAAGCCCTTAAAGATACTAAAAAAGCCCGAAAGTAAAACTGCGCATATTTCAAGCTGATAATGTTAAATATCATACCACAAATATTGAAAAATTTTAGTTAAATTAAACTGAAGCTAATTTTCAAAAATTTTGCAGCTTCTAACATACTATCCGAACCATTACCAGCAGTCTGTACTACTACTCAAAACTTGCCAGCAAAAAAGTGAATAAACCTTTTTGGTTGTAGTGATTCGCTCCTGCATGCCACCCATATCCGTTGCTAAAGTTGGCTGATAACCCACAGCGGATGGAATTCGCCCAAGCAACGCTGAAACTTCGGAACCAGCTTGCGTAAATCGGAAAATATTATCGATGAAAAGCAATACATCTTGTCCTTCTTGGTCACGGAAATATTCAGCAACTGTCAGACCAGTTAAACAAACTCGTGCTCTTGCTCCAGGTGGTTCATTCATTTGGCCATATACAAGAGATACCTTGAAAAATATTTACAAATGAGTTATTAAATATTGTTTCCTGTTTTTAATTGCGATCAGATCCATGTATTCTTCTGAAACGACTCCCAAAGAAATCAACAACGGCAGCCGATGAATACCTGTTTTTATACATCCTCCATTCAAATTTATAAAACTGACATGTACGAAAAAAAAGGCAAAGATTAACTTTCTAGGATGTATCAGAAGCAATATGAAATATTAAAATAGCTCAGTACTAACACCATAGCAGTAAGAACAATGACCTAAATTTGAAAAGTAATAGTGACTGAAAAACATAAATAGTGGACAGTTTCTTGAGCTGCATCGTATAAGCAACAAAACTTTAAACTTCCTTATAATTCAATTCAGAACTTCAAACGTCAACTTTGTCATGGCGTTTCGAGAAACTGGGTCTAAGTGAAACATTTTGCGAAAAATTTTTCCTTAAAAGGAGGTTGCAGCTTTAAATCTTACTTTGAATTCAACAACTTTTTTTAACAAACCAAATAACTTGGTTTTTTAAACTTTTTTATCTATTGATTACTGAGATTGTCTTTATCACTGGAAACCATATCGCATGATACAAAAAAATAACCGTAAAAAACAGACTAACCTTCGAATTTTTGCCTTTCAAATCGATGACCCCACCTTCAATCATTTCGTGATACAAATCGTTACCCTCTCGAGTGCGTTCACCAACACCCGCAAACACTGAATAACCACCGTGCGCTTTGGCGACATTATTGATCAGTTCCATAATCAGCACAGTTTTTCCTACACCAGCTCCGCCAAATAATCCTAAACTTATATTAGATGCATCAGAATATGGCAAGCACCACAAAACTTCAGCAATTAAAAATATATCTAAAATATTTTGAGTAGCATCTATTCAATAAAGTAAAATAAACGGAGCTAAAGTTAATGTTTTTATAGCAAAAACTTTGAAAAAAAAGCCCAAGAAACTCGTCACAAAGAGATCTGATAATGTGCGAAAATTCTTAAATACTACCAGCAAAAATGGAGGTAATGCAGTATTCGC